GCTCCAAGAATATCATCGCCTGGCACAGGACCAAGGTCGGAAAATTCCTCCCCGAAGCCCAACGAGGACCAGTCCACGACGCCGCTAGCACCCCACTCCTGAAGGTCCTGAACCACGTTGGCCTCCTGAGCCTCGAGGCTTAGGTTGTCCCCGCCCAGAGGAAGGACGCCGTCCTCCTCATCCAACTGACGAATCCCACGAGCAAACAACTCTTCCCCACGAGCCTTCGCCGCCTTCCGCATCTTGCGAAGACGGGACAAACGACCCAAGGCCGTCGCCAACTTCGTTTGGAGCACCTCCAACTCCATTTCAGCATCCTCAATCTCAGCCTCTCGCTTCTTCTGCTCTGCAAGAGCCTTTTCCACTAGACGATCATTAGAAAACAGGACCATGACCCCACCAGGGACCAACTTACGCGCAGAAACCACGCTCACACCATCACAAGAGCGACCGCGACGGATGCACTCCCCACAGCGAGAAGAACCAGGGGCGGTCTTACAGACGAGATGTCGCTTGAAGCACCCCGTACAAGGCATCTTGATTTCGCCCTCGGAGTCAATCAAAGCAGCGAGCGCCTTTCTTTGGTCGGTTTTGGCAGACGAACGTTTTATGACACGACCTGACATTTTGTCATGGTTAGTAAGGATGACAAGAGAAGAACCACCGCAGGCGGCTGGGACTTACTACTTATGGCCGCTGGGACATCGGCCTGGAGGAGGAGCATCATGTAACAACCAAGGAAGCAGGGCGGCCGCGAATCGACGACCCCGCGATCAGGGAGCGCGATAAGATAAGAATCGGGCCCACCTGGCAAATCACGTGATGGCTCACTCAGACATAAAGGGTGAGTCGTCGGGCTCACCAAGGACGCCGCAGTGAGCCAGGGAATGGCTCACGGGATAACACACCGTGATCCTAACATCATGGATCACCAACAACTAACCAGTGAGCCATCCAACATGAGCTCACCACCTAACACAACAAGGACAGGATGGCAGGTATATAAGGACGGACATTCTGGACTTGTAGATACATTCTTTCTCACGACAGTGATCAATCTAAGTCTTACCTTGTATTCATTGTAACGAGTGCGCAACGCCTTACGACACCACATCGTCTCAGAGTCACAACCTAAGCTTCTGCAAACAGCAACCCCAACCCTCTGACAGTGTTCCCCCTTCGGAAGCTGCCAGGTCGTAACAGTATAGCCCCGAATATAAATAGTATTAATATTATAGAGATATATTAATTATATAGAGATAAGGATATAGTTATTAACCCTTGGTTATCTAGTAATAGTAGTAGTAGGGTTGCTATACGTATTATTAATATAATAATTAAGGTCGATTTTATATATTTAATAAATAGAATAAAAGGATATACTTATTATCGCTATAGTATAGCTTTTATTATTATAATTATCGATAGAGATTATAGAAAGTACTATTAATAGGAATTACCGAGAAAGCTAGTAGAAATCGTATAAGTAATAAGGGTTTAGGTTAATTATTATATTAATTAAAAAAAGAGAAGTCGAGAAACGGATATCTAGTGAACCCTTAATACTGCATGCCCTCACTAGACGCATACCCTCATTGCATTGCATTCCCCATCCTGTTCTCCCAATGCCTACATTGGCCCCATGTCGCGATTACTGAATACTTGCTGAGCTCCAGCCAGGTGGACGGTGGATTACATCGACCGAACATGCCTAGCGATTGAACAGAATATCATGTAGCTTCATAATCCTATAATCTTTGTTTGTCTTCAGAATGAAATCTTCCTGACGGCTCTTCGGCTTAGCGGTTTGCCGTTCGCGTCGTCCTCCTACCTCGGCTGGCATTGGATATCATCTCCACTTCTCCTGCCCAGCGATCTCATCCCACGACCTCTCTCATAGTCTCACTCTGAGGCACAGCATCGAGTCGAGTCAAGATGAAGTCGTTGTCTTTTCAATATCCCAGGCATTCCCTCGGCGGCATGCTTCGGGCTCTACAGACAAGATCGCTTTCTTCCCAGGCAGCGCCAACACCGGCGAATTCCATCAGAGACATCCTCAACAAATCAAAGCATGTCCCAGACCACTTATCGCCTACCAACTCCCGCCTCCTGACCCTCTCGCTGTCAGACTATCTGCCCGCCGAGTGTCTTGAGCCCCTCCAGCCGCAGGCCTCACCGTCCGGGAAGACAGCCCAGCCCCTGCCACAGGGCCACCACCTCGTCTACTTCCCCATCCAGGCGCGCCCGTCAGAGCTCCATCCCGATGGCACCGACGCAGACCACTGGCCGGGACGTCCCTTTATGCGGCGAATGTGGGCCGGCGGCGAGGTTCGCTTCCGCCCAGGCTGGGAGAAAGACATGCCCCTCGACGGGCGCGAGGCCGTCTGCACGGAGACCGTAGAGGAAGTCCGTCTCTCGGGCGAGGGCGACAAGGCCAAGGCGTTCGTCGACGTCTGGCGGCGGTACACAGTCGCAGACGGCAAGGGCGGCGACGCGGCCCCGGCCATCGAGGAGAGGAGGACCCTCGTCTTCATGCCCGAGGTCGAGGCCCTCACAGGCGACGCAGCGGCGGCGGCTGCAAAGAGCCCGCCGCGCATCATCAAGTGTACGTATGACGAAGAGGACAGGGAAAGGGAGCGCCCCTTGCATTTCACGTTTGCTGTCCACGAAAACTAGGCACGACGAGACGTATATGGAAGCGCTGACACGCCACAGCGCCGCACACGCCCGACTACGCCTTCGCGCTGACGCCAAACCGCGCGCTGCTCGCCAACTTTAGCGCCCTCACGTATAACGCGCACTCGATCCACCTCGACGCCGCGCTGACTCTGGCCGAGGGCCACCGCGCGCTGCTCGTGCACGGCCCGCTGACGCTGGCGCTCGCGTTCGCGGCGCTCCGGGGCGCGGCGCCGCGCGAGGGCGTGCGAAGGCTGGAGTACCGCAACGTGGGGCCGCTGTACTGCGGCGAGCGGCTCCGGGTGTGCGTTCGCGAGAAGGAGGCCGGTTCGAGGACGGGGGCCGCGGACGAGAGGAGGTGGGATGTGTGGGTGGAGGGGCCGGCGGGCGGCATGGCTGTCAAGGGAACGGCGGTGACGGGGGCATTTTGATGATAACTTTCTGACGAGGCGGGAAACCACGACAGCGGGCGTTTCTTGGCAGCATGGTGCTCTACAGACAGGCCGACAGGCAGGCAGACAGACACACCGTTTGATGTCTCGTAGGAGGGTTCGCCGCAGGGCCAGATAGCCTGTTTGGAATGCAGGTCGCTCTCTTTGACCCCACAGACTTGATCCGCGGGTTCCGATTTGATGGCATGGATATTTGCCTGCACAGGGGGCGGGGTCTCGGGTTGTTGAGGTAAGGTTTCGGGTTCCCAGGGAGCCCGACGGTAACAAGGTTCGACATCTTGATGGCATGGTTTGAATCTAGGGCAATATTGTGGAAGATTTCCGAGGCCGCCAAGGTTCTCGTGGCCGTGGCTGATTGAATCTTATTCTTCTGGGTGGGCTGTCATCACCGGATATACTTGAGAAGCTCGAGCATATGTCAATCTGGAAAGAAGGTTGGCTTCGGAGACCTGTATGTGTTGGTGATTAAGTTCGAGGTAGCTGGCGGGCCGTGAGATGGCTCTTGCGCACATGCTTATGCGAATCATTTGGGAAGCCGCGGGAACCATATCCAGAAGAGCCACATCAGAAGCAACCAACATTGGAGCCTCATCAGATGGATGCGTGTTGTTTTCGCTGAGTGTGGGCTGGTTGGACATGCACTGATCAAGTTGCCGCAGGGGCGAGATTCTTACCAGCATCTGTTAGGTCGGTGGCTGAACATGGGGCTCTGTGATGGGAACTGAGCTGTGGCTTGTGTGCCAGGTGGAGTGCACCATCTGGGTGTAGAGAGGGGTCTGCGAATAGTGCTATGGAAGTGCTCAGACGAAGCAGATAATTTCCGACATGGACATCAAACGCTTTGTTCATCTTTCAATTGACCATCGGTACAGGTATTCTTGCACCCATATTGCACCTGTATTCGGGCACCACTGCGATAAGAGCATCTCGCAGCTGGAGCTTGCATCATGTGTGCGGCCAGCGTCGTCCAATGGAAGGCATCGGTGGCAGCGAATTAGGGTATGTCACTAGCTCCGTTGCATCCGCTGTATGGACATGTATATATCATGTTCCCATTCCTCGGTCAGTGCTATTATGTACAAGCAATGTCATCGTGCCAACCTGGACTGGTGAATGAGCTCAAGAAGGCGCCTCAAAATCGGCCACAAAACCGGCCAGATCAGTGTCCATGTTATCTGACTCGACGACATCTGTGGACCAGTCAAGCATCCTGCCAGATTGCAGTGTTTCGCGCTCTGGACCTTGTGCGTTGCCCCCCCGGCAGTATACCCTGCCTTGGTACAAGACAGGAAACGACACCGGTCGAGAGGCCCCACTAGACAGTCTCTTCCAGGGGCGCCCACCAACCCCCGATCACCAACCCCCGAAACGACCTACGAATAGGGGCTCGAGGCCCATCTTCCGGGCAGTGCTCAGGGGGTGATTGAGGCAGGGCGGGGGATGTGGGCGCCATCGCAATTTGGAGCCGATGTTTGGGTACCTCCTAGCTGGTACCTATATGTGACCTTACTTTGCTAGGGAGGTAACGTACCTACCTAGGTAGGTGCCAGGTAGGCCCCTAGGTAGGTACGCAGCAGCTCAGCACATGCAGCGCCGGGGTGCACAGCACAGCACTCCATTTCGTTGCGTTCGAGTCGAGGCGGTCAAAACTTGGAAACTAGGGTCGGACGAGGGAGCACCTCCCCATGCTCCCCTCCCACCAGCCGGAACCCCCCCCCCCCCCCCCCTTCTCCTTTCATGTGTCTCCACGAAACAATCTCTCCCACTGCACATTTTTTGCCAGTGAGGACCTTCTCGACAGCAACAGCACACTTGCCGTCCCTTTCCATCGCCAATTGAGGCCTTTACCCCCCCTCATACGGCTCGCCCATCATGTCGAAACCCACAGGCGTCGAGAGCTTCGAGTTCGTCCAGACGCCTCCTGCTCCCCAGCCCACCTTTGAAAAGGAGGAAGAGTGTGGCGTCCGCACCACCAAGGTGAGCGAGCTTCCATCTGTCCTCTGATTTTGGTCGAGAGGGAGATTTAGAGAAATGATGGCTGACCTGGTCCCCCCCCCCCTCAACAGGCGCCCGCCATCAAGAATGCCCCCCTTCCCGCCGATGGCCCCGGCTCGGACAGCTTCTCCAACTGGTTCATGATCGGTGCCATGGTCATCGTGCCGTACTACGGCGCCTGGAAGATCGGCTACGGCTTCAAGACGGCCCTCTTCTTCGCCCTCTTCACCACCGTGCCCATCCTCACCGGCTACTGGTACATCGCCTCGCGCATCGGGCCCCGCAAGAACGAAAAGGCCCGCCTGCCCGGCCGTCCCGTCGAGCACTACATCACCTTCAAGAAGGACGAGGACAAGCTCAAGTACCGCGGCAAGAACAAGATCCCCATGGAGACCTTCCAGGAGAAGTACTTTGACGGCGACGTCGAGTTCAACGGCGACGCCCTCGAGGTCCTCGAGTACCGCCACGACTGGGCCGCCTTCCACTTCACCCTCAGCCTCTTCAAGTTTGTCCTGTTCCAGTTTGCTCCCGAGGTCATTATGCACTCTCGTTCCCAGGGTATGTCTCTCTCTCTCTCTCTCTCTCTCTCTCTCTCTCTCTCTCTCTCTGTGTGTGTGTGTCTGTGTGTGAGTGTGTCTGCTAACCTGCCTAGACGAGGAGCAGGTCCGCGACCACTACGACCGCGGCGATGACTTTTACGGCTGGTTCCTCGGCCCGCGCATGATCTACACCTCGGGCATCATCTCCGACATCGACCGCGAGGAGACCCTTGAGGAGATGCAGGACAACAAGCTGGCCATTGTCTGCGAGAAGATCGGCCTCCAGCCCGGCGACACCCTGCTCGACATGGGCTGCGGCTGGGGCACCCTCGCCCGCTTCGCCAGCGAGTTCTACGGCGCCAAGGCCACCGGTGTGACCCTCGGCCGCAACCAGACGGCCTGGGGCAACAACGCCATGCGCAAGGCCGGCATCCCCGAGGAGCAGAGCAAGATTGTGTGCTGCGACTACCGCGACACCCCGACCATCCCCGGCGGCTACAAGAAGATCACCTGCCTCGAGATGGGCGAGCACGTCGGCGTCCGCCACTTCCCCGCCTTCCTCAAGCAGATGCACGACCTCCTCGACGACGACGGTGTCTGCTACTTCCAGCTCGCCGGCCTCCGCAAGTCCTGGCAGTACGAGGACCTCATCTGGGGTCTGTTCATGAACAAATACGTCTTCCCCGGTGCCGACGCCTCCACCCCGCTCGGCTTCTACATTGACCGCTTCGAGGGCGCCGGCTTCGAGGTCCGCAACATTGACACCATTGGCGTCCACTACTCGGGCACCCTCTGGCGCTGGTACAGGAACTGGCTCGCCAACAAGGACAAGGTCGAGGCCAAGTACGGCAAGCGGTGGTTCCGCGTGAGTTTTTCTTCCTTCATCTTCATATGCAGTGTTGCTGACTACCTCTAGATCTGGGAGTACTTCCTCGCCTCCTCCACCATCATCTCCCGCCAGGGCAGTGCCACGTGCTACCAGATGGTCCTCGTCAAGAACATCAACTCGACGCACCGTGTCGAGGCCATCCCCAGGCAGTTCAACCTCTCGGGCGCCCTCGCCAGCAGCAAGGCCAACATTGCCGACTGGGCCAAGAGGAACAACGTCACCTCCTCGACTGCCTTTACCGATTAAATCAGGTAAGCAGGCGTCTAGGGGCGGGAACCCGAGGCAGGACGCGCGCTTTTTCGACTTGTTTGTGTCGTTGTGCGTCGTGCCGATTGTATGTGAAAATGTGACGGGCCTCGGCCGGGACACGGTCAGGGGTGTTTTTTTTTTTTTTGGGCTGCTCGGCTGGCAGACGTCACGTTTTGTATGAAAAGCCGTATCGCGGTGCAAGGCCCTTCGGAAGGCAGGAGGGTGCAAACAGCGCGAAGGCTGAGGGAAGGAAAATGGTTACGTCCGGACATGAAACGTTCTAGATTAATGATGTGCGTTGTGGTGGCGATAGTCTAATGATGCCCGCCCGGCGCAGCTGTGGCTTGCGGCTCCTATCTGGTGCTGTTCCTGCTCTAGTTGCCGTGTTTCGTTGTTTGTTCGGGTGTCTGATGAAGGTGAGGAGGGTCGTTGAAATATCCTGCATTACGTTCCACCAAGTTCGCAGACGCGGAAAGGCAGAGAGCTACATGTCCACGCATGGTGGTCAGGCACTTGCTGGGAAACAAGATTGGCCTCGCGTCCAAAAAGTGCTGAATGTGTCGAAAATGAAAGGTACCAAGTTTGAATAAATTCGTCCACCTTGCGCGAGCTCATATACAGTTGATATCATTATATACAGACCGAGATCAGCAGAGCTCCAACAGCTGCTCCTCCGAATTCGCCACCCATCACTGCAGATACAGCCTGCCCTCCCACGGCCGCAGCACCCTCGCGCCGCCGGCGACATCAGCCTCGTCGCGGGCCCGGACGTCGTCATAGTTGCCCACCTCGGCCCGCAAGCCCTTGACGGCGGGCAGGGTCACGGGCCTGTCGTCGGCGGTAAAGTTGAGGGCGACGACGGCGGTGCGGTCGCCGTGCGTCTTGGAGAAGACAAAGGTGTGGGGGTCGGCGTCGTTGTGGACGGCAAAGGCGCCGTGGATGAGGAGGTCGCGGTGGTGCTTGCGCAGGCGCAGGAGGGCGCGCCAGAAGTGGAGGACCGAGTTGGGCTCGCGCTCCTGCTTGGCGACGTTGATCTCGGGGTAGAGGTCGTGGACGCGCATCCAGGGCTTGGCGCCGCCGGCGTCGGTGAAGCCGGCGTGGGGCGTGTCGTCCCACTGCATGGGGATGCGGGCGTTGTCGCGGCCGAGGAGGTTGATGCTCTCCATGGCGTAGCGCTTCTCGGCGTCAGTGGTGCCGGGGCGGGCCTCGAGGGCGCGGTAGTAGTTGAGGGCCTCAATGTCCTGGTACTCGTCAATGGGCCAGTCGGCGGGCACGTTGGTCATGCCAATCTCCTGGCCCTGGTAGACGAAGAGGGTGCCGGTCAGGGAGCAGAGCATGAGGGCGAGCATCTTGGCCGAGACGGCGCGCCAGCGCGGGTCGTCGCTGCCGAGGCGCGACACGCTGCGGCCCTGGTCGTGGTTCTCGCAAAAGACGGTCGTCCAGGCGTCGGTGCCGTCGATGAACTGCTGCCACTTGGCGACGAGGGCCTTGAGGTCGGGCAGGGCCCAGGGCCGCCAGGCGTACTTGTGCTCGGCGCCCTGGCCGAGGTCGACAATGTCAAACTGGAAGACCATGTTGAGCTGGCGGTCGCCGGCGCCGACGTAGCGGCGGACGTGGGCCGGGTCGGGGGTGTGAGGCAGCTCGCCGACCGTCATGGCGTCGTAGGCGTCGAGGACCTGCGTGTTCATGGCGCGCAGGAACTCGTGCATGCGCGGTCCGTTGGCGTACATGCACCAGGCCGGCTGCTCGTAGTTGTTGGGGTCGACGACGGGGGCGTCACGCAGCTCGACGCCCTTGCTGTACATGTTGACCGTGTCGACGCGGAAGCCATCGACGCCGCGGCGCAGCCAGAAGCGCATGGCGCTCTCGTGCAGGGCCTCGCGCACGGCGTCGTTCTCCCAGTTGAGGTCGGGCTGCTGGGTCGCGAACAGGTGCAGGTAGTACTCCTGGGTGTGCTCGTCCCACTGCCAGGCGCTGCCGTTGAAGTAGGACCGCCAGTTGGTGGGCGGGCGGCGCGTGCCGTCGGCGTCGTAGCGGGCCGGGCGCCAGATGTACCAGTCGCGCTTGGGGTTGTCTCGGGAGGCGCGGGACTCCTTGAACCAGGCGTGCTGGTCTGACGTGTGGTTGATGACGAGGTCGAGGATGAGCTTCATGCCGCGCGCGTGGCAGGCGGCGATGAGCTTCTCCATGTCCTCAACGGTGCCGTAGGGCGCGTGGACGGCTTCGTAGTCGGAAATGTCGTAGCCCATGTCGATCTGCGGGCTCGCGTACATGGGCGACACCCAGACGACGTCGACGCCGAGGTTGGCGAGGTAGTCGACCTTGCTGATGATACCGGGGATGTCGCCGAGGCCATCGCCGTTGCCGTCCTTGAAGCTGGCGGGGTAGATTTGGTAGACGGTGGCATCCTTCCACCAGGGCGTGGGGTTGTTGGCCATGGAGCCCATGTTGGTAGAAGCGGAATAGAGGGAGAGGGAGAGGAAGAGAAGAGCGAGGCTGAGGAAGAGGCGGAGAACAGGGAAGAGCGAGGCTGAGATGGAGGGGTAAGAGCAGGAGGGGCAAGAGCAAGAGGGCAAGAGCAAGAGGGCAAGAGCAAGAGGGGCAGAGGAGGGGCAAGAGCAGGTCGAGGATCTCCAAGTGCAAGTGCAACTGAAGCGCTTCTCAGTACCTTCTTCAGTCAACGTCCTCAACCGAGATCTTTATTCCACAGCTCCAAGGTAAACCCAGAGACAGCTCAACAACTCTACAAGAAGACGAGCAAGGCAACGCAAAGTCAATGATGCAAACAGCCACGACCCCAAAGCAACAACACATCCTCCCGCCGAGGGCCCCTTTATACCCGACACAAACATCGTCAGCCCCCCCATCAGGCATACTTTCAATAACCCCCTCAGGCAAGAAAGTCTGCTCCTCCCCTCCTCCCCCTCGTGACGTTCTCCAAAAACACCACGACCGAACAAAAAGACACGGGCAGCCCAGGTCGGGAGAATCCTCGGTGCAAATTGGTAAAGGAGGAGGGGCCGTCCCCCGCTGCCGATCGGGAAACTCGCCCTCTCGCCCCGGCTCTCCATGGGGTATCTGGGCGTCGCAGAACCACGGCACGACGATTGGCCAATGGCCTCTCAAAGACGCCGCCAATGCTCGCTGCAATTGAACAGCGCGGGACGGCGGGGAGAGGAGGGGGAGTCCCTTCGCATAAACTCTCGCCCAAACCTGGTCGCCTTGCCACTTGCGGCTCGCCGCTGCGGAGTAGCTCCGCTAGCTTGGGGGAGTGTGCATCGTGGTGCGCATCGTGACTTGTTGACGGTGAGGCTTCGTGTAGGTGAAGAGACAGCAGGCGAGCCAGAGCAGAGACAGAGAGACAGAGACAGAGAGACAGAGACAGAGAGGTAGAGAAAGAGAGACGGAGAGGCACAGACGCAGAGAAAGAGAGAACAGTCTGAGCCCAAGAACAGCATGTCACACCTAATACAGTCATCCAACAGGCACAACGCCAGACACCATGATAGCAACCAATTCATCCTGTCTGTCTGAATAACCATTCTGAGAACGCCTTGCCGCCTTTTTTTCTCCTGCTTCTACTATGCGTACACGGGATCGAGAACGCCCTGGCCGGCGACGGCTTCAACCTTCACCCCGGAGAATTTTCTCTTCTGAGTCTTCCAGCTTCACGCCTCGTCGTCGTCGTCGGCATCGGCCATGCTGGTGTCAGCCTTGGCCGCCGCCACGTCGTCGTCCCCTGATGCGTGGCCTGCCGCGGCACCCTCGTCGCCGTCCTCCTCGTCCTCCTCGTCGCTCTCGACGACGCGACCGCGTCGGGCACGCTTGCTCTGCTGTCGCCGCGTGACCTCGGCATCGTCGTCTTCCTCGTCATCATTGTCGCCCCCTCTGCCGGCGTCGACGTCCATGCGGTCATCGCCCTCGTCGTCGCCATTGTCGCGCTCGTCAGGGGAAGCGGCACGACCACCCCGTGCGAGCGCCCTCTCGGCCCGCTCGAGGGGATCCTCCTCGTCGCCCTCGTCGCGTTGCTCCTCGTCCTCGTCCTCGTCGCTGTCGACGATAATCTCGGCCGACTTGAACTTGCCGGGCTTCTCGGCCTCCTTCTTGGCGAGGCGTCTCTTCTTCGGCTTCGGCCGCTCCTCCTCCGACTCGTCCTCGTCCTCCGAGTCGTCGCCGCCCTTCTTCTTGCGCGCGCCCCTCTTGGCCTTGCCCTCGCCCGCCGCGCCCCGGGGTGCCGCCGCCTTGCGCTTGCGCTTGACCCTCTCGCCCGTCTCGCTGTCCGTCGTCATCTCGGCCTCGGCCCGCGCCTTCTCCTCCTCGGCCCGCCTCTCCGCAATCTCCCGGTCCCGCGCCGCAATGGCCTCGCGCTCCGCCTGGAGCTTCTCCTGCTTCGCCCGCTCGATCGCCAGCGCCGCCGCCCGCGCCTCCTCGCGCTTGCGCATCTCCGTCTGCCGCTGCTCGAGCGCCGCCTGCAGCTTCTCCTTGTTCTTCTCCTCGTACTCCCGCTGGCTGGCGATGGCCCTCTCGAGCTGCTTGCGCTGCGTGTGCGCGCCATGTTGGCACGCTGCTCCAC